GACGAGGAGAGGAGAGAGAGAGAGAGCATGAGAGAGAGAGTAGAGTGGTGCACAATTAACTCACATGCTCAGTTGGCACACACACTCTCATTACAACACATCAATAGGGCTATTGATACACTATGCTAACATTTCTCGCCAGGGTGAGACATGGCAATTCCCTGCGTCCAGCCAATGGCCAGGAGTGGGTGGGGGGGGGTGGGTGGGGGGGGGGGGGGGGGGGGCATGGTGGAGAGAGGAGGAGGGAGTGGGCAGAGGTGGGGGGGTGGGGGGTGTATGTAACTGTGTAGCCCCAGTCACAAGATGGAGTGGGGCACCTTGGAATAGAGTGACAGCAGTCATATCTAAGCCACTTGCCCCGTCACGACAAGGAGAGTTGTACTGCTACATGCCATACCCCAAAGGGAAAGGTAGATGGGGTGCCTGTCAAACACAATGCTTGCTGACATTTGATTATTTATGCCGCCATTCAAGTTTTCCAGAGCAACATGTCCTTTCATAAATAACTGAGCAGGAAGACTGGTGTGCCCTCATGGATCGGGACAGAGGGTGCCTGTACTCACACAACCCCTGCACCGATGTTGTTGGTGACACATCTATTTATAACTCTAATAGTAGTGGCGCCAAGTGAAGTTAAGCGCATCGGTCTATACAGGAGACCGCTCCGTGTGAACAGCAAAAGCCAATAAAACAGTTCACAAACTCTCTACTCTTCCAATCAACAAAACCAAGTCTGTTTCTCTTGCAAGTGTATTTTTGCACATTCTATTTCCAAACACCAAGTCTCTATCTCTCTCGCACTCTCTCTCTCCCTTTTAGAGACTTGTTTGCTGCATACTTGGAAGCCATGGCATGGAAAGTTTACTGTGGTGAGAGTTAAAAGGGAGCTTAATTACATTTTATTGGTGTGGACAGATTATCAAAACGAACAGAGCAGAAAAGTTTTCAACCCCTAATGGAGCTCTTGGATATCTGTGATTTTCCACTAAGTGATGATAGAAGCTGGAAATTCTGACCCTACACCGTCCAGTGAAGTAAACATCATCCACAAGTGATAAACTGGTGAACCTCATCCTTCTCTTGATATTCACCACCACACATTGTCTCTGAACTCTTTGTTCTGGATGGCCTCATGTATTATACACCAAAGAGCGTCAAGATCTGAGAGCAACCACTTGTCCCCCCCCCAGCCCCCAGCTGCGTTCACGGGTGTCTCACCGAGCTAAGATGGGTGCAAAGAAACGCACCCCCACATTGGCTGCGGTCGGACCACTGGTCAATGGGACTGAATTAAGTTTTTTTTTTTCTTCTATTTGAATGCAAATAGAGGTCAGTCTACATGTCTCCTTCCCATGTCAAGTTGTCTCCAGCATCCCACATATCCTCTCTGGAAAAGGGGAAATTAGTATAACAGAAGTGACGTAAACGGGCAAACACACACTTATACACAGAGAAATCAATCCACGCCACCCACATCACACGGACACAAAATCACACACTGTGGGCTCAAGGTGGAGCGATGCACCTAGACATGGAAGTTTACTGACCAGCAGGTAAATGAGCAACTTCTGGTGTTTGACTTGTCAAATGAACACATGAAATCTCTTCAAAAGGATCACCATTTTGACGTAGTATTAGAATGGAAGCGTCACATCTACTAACAGAAATGAAACCAACTCAGTTCTCTGCTTAAGTAAACCACCTTCTTGTCCCTGTTTAAACTAGGAAACTTCAAACAACTTATCTCTATTTTCATTATGTATGTTAAATATTTATTTCACAAACAAAAAAAAAAAACAGCAATTTGCTTAATCATCTCTTTAGTCCAGTTGCTGTTGGCCTGAAGTTTTTCAAAGACAAATTAGCTATCATCTTTGCCAACCATGGTTTTCTGAGAGTTTCCACTGAAAAGTCTCACATCACTGACAAGTAGTTACAGAAATTATTCTGATGGCTGTATGTAATATCTAATAGAGAGAGAAGAAACCCTGATTGATTCCCAGTGGTTCTATTCTAGCAGCTGCTGCTCTTTTATTTACAGTGAATTAGATAAGACTAGATCACTTTAGACGGGATGAGAAACTTTTAAATATGCTCTTTAAAACATTTATGAGCCCAATCTAAATTTTAAACCATAAAACAAAACATGATTATGCAGTAAATACTTTGAAAAGTGGAAAAAACTGTAGGGAATTCCCCGAGAAATTATTAATTCAAGCTTAATTTTGAGGTTGCTAATGTGTCTAAAACACTCAGAGAGAACACAGAGGGAAAACAAAACTTTCAAATTTGGAAAACCACTCCTCAGTGGGGTTTTTCTTTGTTTGTTTTGTTGTTGTTTTTTGTTTTTTTCCAAACAGGTTTATTGGTAATTATTCTAAAATGTTGAGGAGACAAAACTGAAAAGTTTTTAATTTCTTCTACATCATTTTCTAATGTTTCATTGGTGTGAAAGATCATGGTGTGAACTCAGGTGCACCTGCATTTTTAGTTTTGCATTAATTAACAATACATAGCTGCATACAGATTATCATATGTATGTAATTGGGACTAGGGGAAAAAACATCTCCCACAATATTTTTTTTTTTTCATTATTTATAATAATAATCGACTGAAGTATATCATTTGCCTCCTGTTTGTGTTTTTTATTTATGACTGCCTGGTCTTTTAAGAATCTGAGGTTTATCTGATTTAGGTTGTTCATGCGCAGCGACGCCACACTACGAAATGCAAAATGGCCACATGGTCGTAGTAACCTTCAGCTCTGGTCCCTGGATTCATCATCTGCTCTCCGGATGTCTGCTGCGAAGATTGTGGCGACATGTGCCTTGTATCTTTCCCCATTTCTAAATAAACAGCACTGCTTCAGCAAACGAGGGGATAATGTTTAGAATAAAGTAGATTTCAGGTTAAGTGACGGCAGCTGGACCACATGGTCTTCTTCAGCTAATGTAAGTAACAGGCACACGTCGGTGTGCTATAAGCTATTCAGGTTTGTCCTATTGAATCACTAAGTCCTAATATAACAGGTATCCCCCTCATTTAAAAAACAACAACAAATAAATACATTTTAAACATTTTAACATCATTCCCCACCAGTCGGCAAAAAGGCAGATTTACAAGAGGTTAAACTGAGCTATAAAAACACTTTCTGTGTTAAGGCCTTCCCCTATCCAACCAATAAACTAAAAGAAAATATTACAATATATACTTACTCTCTCCATATGTGGACCACATGAAGATAGTGGAGACAGACAGCATCAAACCCCAAAACAAGGTCGGGCTACCCATCGGTGAGTCAGATCTCATGTTCCTGGACATTATTCTCCTCTCAAAAAATAAAAAAATAAAAATAAAAAAAAGCCAGGGATGAAACAATAAGTTATACACACCAGCTTCTAAAAAAAAAAGAGCCTTAATATGAAGAAAAGGGGGAAAAAATAACTGTGTCTGTAGCCCAAAAGGCTACTCTATGGTAGCCTGTAAATGCGTGGTTGCTTGTCTACCAGGATTTTTTTAAAACTAAATAAAGGTGTATAAATTGTTATGAGTGGGAATTTCTTTGAAAAAAAAATACAAAAACAGTCTGCTATTTTTGCCAATCACTGGATACTTTGACGTCGGCTGGTATGGCACACATGCCAGTGATTTCACTGGATAAATGATGGTAATCCCCATCTTCAGTCTCCATCTCTTGAAAACAGCAGTGCGCGTACAGTGCGATCAGGCCTGGTAATAACAATGAAAATATCAGACTAAATGTTATTATTAGTAGCCTCCACCACCATAATAAATTAAACCAGTGTCACTCGCAAGAATCCCCCGTGTGAATGGCTGTGTATGAGGGGGGGGGAGGAGCAGAGGAGGGGGGGGAGGCAGAAAACACGTCCAGATCCACAGGGGTGGTGGCTGGGAGGTTGAAAAATGAATGAAAAACCTTTTTTGCCTATGCCATTCAGCCAGCACAGGCTCACGAACCCCAAAGCGCAGTCCTGGCCCACAGACAGAAGTCGTTTTTTAAACCAATTTTCCAGCTCCTCGGGTCGGACTTATCTCTGCCGTCAGTCGGGATTTGCAGCTGAAAGAAAATACCAGACTTGTGCCACGCAAGAGAATGGGTCTCCAGCTCTCCAGCTAGACGACCTCGGCTAGGGTGGGAGGGAGAATATGTCCAAGGAGTTGCCCTTTAAGCGTGTTTCTTGTTTTGCCTATATCCTCACAAAAAAAAGGAGAGAAAACTAAAACTCCCGGTGCGCGTATATCCAGAGGCTGAAATCCTACGGTTCGCCCTCGGTTAGAGCAGGCTGTGGGTCTCCGCTCCTCCGTGGAATCTCTGCTGTAAACAAGAGTCGGCTTCTCTCACACAGAAACACATAGTGCTACAGATAAGGTGGCCGGCAACAGGGCGGAAAACCCGGAGTGGATTCAGCCCCAGGGATTCTCAAAAACCCACTACACCCCAAACAAGAACGCCCCCCCCACCCCCCACCCCCACTGTGTGTGTCTGAAAGCTATGTTAGTATAGCTTTATTCCAAGTTATATAACCTACTGTCAATAGCAGAGGCAAACAAATTTGAATTTTGCCGGGATGGATCCCATGTCTGGAGCATAGATGTTCTTTATATCATGTCTCATTAGTTCCAATTGTTAGACTACTGACAATTTCTTAGTATTTGGTGGAAGAGACAGGGATGGCTGTAAAGTTGATCACAATTTTGTCTGTATCTCCTAACACAGTTAGTTACATTTATTAAATCCGTGGTTCTCATCATGACAGACGGGACTCCCCACAAGGGGTCACAAGATTACCTTGGGCCCAATTTGCAACATTAATTCTGACACATTTGAAAAGACTCGCAAATTTACATTTGCAATTTGTGACAATTAGTGACAGTCGATTATGAATCAAATCCCACGTTGCGATCTGTATGTAAGTAAATCGCAAATGTGAAACTGGCCCCTAGTAGAAAATAAGAAAACCTAAATTCTAACATGCATTGTCTTAAGTGATGTGGGGCCCCTAAGGCACCATGACTGTGAGGCAGTAACTGAAATGGTCAGATTGGGGTATACTTTGTGGGGCTTAACTAATACTGAGATCTTGTAGAAGGGGCCCTGTGTCAAAATGTAGTTGTCATAACATTAATATTTTAGTTTACATTACACAGCTCACAATCTTAGTCAGATCTGTGTTTTAATTAAAATATCCACCAATCACCGACAAACAGATCTGTGCATTACTGGTATTCTGTTTGGTTTCTGGGACTCCAGCCCTCCAAAATCTTCTGAAGGTTTAAACTTGAGAGGTTCCAGCTTGTGAGGACAGAGGTGTTTCACACAAAGATGGAGAGATGTTACACCCTGTCCTGCTGTAGGAAGTTATTGTTGAGGTAAAATATAACATTGTTGGTAAAATCCATAAATCCACAAAGTTTCTTCCAAGGCCGTTCAGTGTTGACTGAATAACTTTGTGTTTTAGAGGTAGGCTACATGATTACTGTGAATTTGGACTTGATTTGTTGTCCACAGCATTTACCCATTGTCCTTTCAAATGAGCTTGTTTAAGAAATTTTTATTTTGACAGAAATGTCAAAAAAACAAAAAATCAACAAGAAAAAAAATATTCAATAACAATTCAGTTTGAACGGAACTGTGATAGATTTTATACAGCACCATGATTAGACAAACTGAGGGGTTAACCACGGCTTAGTAATCATCACTGACCATCGTTGGATTTCTTTTGTAAAAGCAGGTGGTTGTAGATGATGAAAATGACTTTGAATTCAACTGCTTATTTCATACTGTGTGTGTATGTGACTTGTATGTTTCTGGGCTGACTGTGCCTCTATTCTTCACGCAAAAGTAGCAAGGAGTTGACCTTTAATGTTTATTACTTCTAAAACTCTATGTATGTCTTGTTGCAAATCACTGACAGCTTTGTCTGAAACAAAATCAGCTTGGACATGATCTCAGATTGGGACTTGTACAGTTGCAAAGGCAGAAAATGTAACATAGTCTATAGGGCTCATCATTCTTTTAATTTAATGACAACAACAAATGGAAATCTATCATTATTCTAACTATAAACTAACTATTACTACTAAATTTGTCCAGTATGTTGCAGGAAATAATAGCAACACCAAAAATCTATATTGCTCTAGAGTGAATAGAACTACGGTCAAACCTCCCATACCATGAAGTCTATGTTGTGCACTGGAGCTGTACCATAGGTTACACTCAACACCATCGTCACAGGCCCCAAGTAAAATCTGACATGGAGCTTTGTTCAAGAGGGGACTGGCAGCACTGCCTTTATCGTTCATTCATCCCATACATGCAGCAGAGACAGCGCAGTGTGCAATGGGCGTCGCTATTCATTCTGAAGCTCGTTTGATCCCGGATGCAGGTTCATAATGTCACTGTCAAAAATCACATCGTTGGCCATTTAGCAAGGGGTGATAATCAGAAATTCCTTAATCTTTTCATTTCAGATGATTTTTAGCCTACGAAGTCGTGTTATCACATTATTTTTGAAACTCACATAAATATTTATTGGAAAGTATTTTTCTCTCACCATTTTATAATAAAATCGACTTTCAAGTTTGTCATTATGAATTCAACATTTCCATCGGGATATTAAGGCGGTTTTATGATTCTGACATAAATACTCCATCATTCCTAAATTAGATAAATGACGTGGTGAATTCAACGACCTTCTCTACATTAGTAAATATTAGTGAGGTTAAAATACACTTAAGAAATGTTGAGACGTTCGTTCCTCAAATGTGCCTAATTGCATTTTAAATGTTACCAGAAAATATATCAGAAAAGCATTATATTAATTCAAACGAGTCCTTTTATTTGTTTGTTCACATTTAATGCTTTTGAAGTTTCATTACTGAAATCTAATAAATATTAAGAGTGTAAATGCAGCGAATACGCGGTATTTTAGACATAATTTCTGTGGTGTAAATAAAACAATTACTTTCGTTCAAGTTGGTTTAGGTAATACTCACATTTGTGCTATAAAGTCATCGGTCAATGAGAACTGTGCTGGAAAGTCTTCTGGTATGTTGTTGAGGTGTAGTGAACGGCCAAGCAAGTCCAAGAAACAGAACAGCATCTCCCCTCGTGGTTAAAAACGGACGCCAATTCAGTGGCGCCATTTTTCTTTTTTTTTTTTCTTTTCTTTCTTTCTTTTTTATTTTCACACAGCAGTTTTGTGGATTTTGTTTTTTTGCTTTTTTTTTTTTCTCTTTCGTTTTTTTGGGGGAAGGGGGGGGTTCACCACCTCGTGAGAGATTCCCTCTGGTGACTGTTTAGGTTCTTTCAGTGATTCGGTGCCGCCCTCTGCTGCTGCAAATGCTGCACTGCAGATGCACTGCAGGTATACTGTACTGTATGTTAAAATATTATTGAAGCATAAATTCATTTCATCAAGTGAACAAGGGCAAAATCTTGTAAAGCAGCAAAAGCCGTGGCACTCATTTACAGTATGTAGCTAGTGCTCGGGTACCATCGTTTGTCTCTTTTCTCTCTCTTTCAAACACAAGCACAGAAAGACACAGATTCCATTAGATGCAAAGATTAGAGACATATATCTTTTTTTAATGAACACTTGCAATCACAAAACATCTAAAAAATAATAATTCTATATCTAATTCTATATCTTGATGATCTTTCAATTATGATCCCTTTAAAACATAAAATACTGGTGAACACTTATACCAACAGGCACCTCGTGCTAGAATATTTGGAACACTCAACTTCAACGTCTCAAGTATTGCACTTCCAATTGCACTCAAGATTTGTCCCCTGAATGCTTATTAAATACAAAGAGGAAAAACTGCTTCTTAAACGTATGACAATGGTGAATGATCACACAAGTTAAATAACATTATCTGTGTATAGTTTAACTGACTGAAAAGGTTTGATTGGAGAATCTAAGAAAATGTTTGTTACCTATGATAAAGAACTAAGGAAAGCGGTTCATTTTAGGAGGATTACCACCATGGGAAAAAAAATTGAATCCTGATATTAAGATCAGAATTTTGAGGTCTTCATAATTAATCTTGTTCTGTTAAATAGAGACACCATTTTTGAGGTCTTCATAATTAATCCTGTTCTGTTAAATGGAGACACCATTTTTCGACTGCCTCAACATACTGCTGGTCAGAGTTTGGTGCACGTAAAGCATATATAAATCAGTATTAAACACGTGTAGTATACAGTACGTGTAAAATTGTGCATAAAGAGTCTGTGCAGAGAAGAGGGTTGGTATTTGCATAAAAAAGGTTTGGGTATACTTTAGCTGAGGCTGTATTGAATTTGAGCTTAGAATTTTGTATTAAGAATACTGTTCTTTTTCTCGCGAGGAGAAGGTACCTCATCTTCCTCTGCTTCTGTTTTGTCTTCAAAAACCCCCAGTAAATCCCAGGACTCAGGAATGAATTGGTGACAGAAGCCTAGCTCCACCAGCCAGGACACTGTAATAATACATATCACAGAAGAAAGCATGGCCAGAGTCCTGTAGGGAAAGTACTGTGTGATAACTCTGTTCTCCTCCCTCCAGCCAGGATACAGCAGAACAGGAGGGATCCCGAGCAATGGCTCCCCGCTCAGCCCACGCAGCAGCAGCCCAACCACGTAGCCGCTAATAGCACCGTAGGTATTAGCATAGCGGAAGTGGAGCACACAGATGAGCTGCGGGAAGATCACGCAGTAGAGGAGGTCCCCGCTTACCAGCCAGAAAGCGAACACACTGTCGTCACCGAAGGCCAGGCCTGTTCCTGCCAGGCCCACAAGCAGCACGCTAACACGGATCACTCGCTGCAGCTCCCGTTCTGAGGCCTGCAGGAAGAGAGAGAGAGAGAGAAGGGACGATAAAAATTGAGTTTCTTTGCTTAATACTGAACCAAACACACACGCACGCACACACACACACACACACTCATACACACACACACACCTGCTTCCTCAATGTTGTCTTGTAAATGTTTTGTGTAAACATGGATGCTGAGGACAGCAGCACAGAGTCCATGGAGGACATAACTGCTGCAGCCACAGAACCAATGCCTAACACTGAGACCCAGGTGGGTGTGAGGTAGCGCAGGGCCAGTGGCAGGATCTTCCCTGCCTCCCCTCGTTCATAAGGAGGGGGTAGACCATACGCTGTCTGGTTCCAGTCTTTGAGAAAAGGAGAGGAAGAGAGGAAAAGAGATAAAGAGGTAGAGATAGAGACAGACAGGTGCGAGAGGAAAAGAGATATTGGGAGGGGAAGAAGTGTTTTAAGATTATGCTTATGGTGTCAAACAAATTAAAATAAAAAATCAAGCACTGGGGAGAAGGAAGAAAAATGTCTGAAAATAGATATACATTATGTCCCACCATAATTAGTATGATATGCTAACAATAACCAGTTATGCAAATGCTCACGGGAACTTTTCACACACACGTGCAAATGCAACCCAGGTTATATCACCCCATGCCATTTATCATGGTAGTGGGTTCCAACTGTTAGAACATGCTGTCTAACTGAACCTGCAAATGCACTGTATCTGAGGGTTTACATTCATGTGTACCTGCAGAGGCAGCCACTGCTCCGATGACCACAGAGGGGATTCCCATAATAAAAACTGTCCCAGCAGCAGCAAAACAGGTGACCTGGGCCTGAGCCGAGGAGGACGCAGAGAGGATCCTCTGGTATAGAGCTTGATAGGCCAGTCCCCCTAAAGCCTACAAGATACACACGCATGCACAAAAAAACACAGCTTAAAAATTCATGCAGTTCACAGCAGCCGGTTTATCCGGTCAAACACAGATTTATCTAATTACATGAATAATAATGGGTGCATTATATTTGTCAGTATAATGTCTGAGTTCCCTTTAGCTGTTTCAGATTCAGGGTCCTGGTGTGGTTCATGCTGGCTCATTGTCACACTGTCATGGCTTACTGGGGCTCTTGAATAGAACAGAGCCATGATTGTTATTCGTAACACTTAACAGTAGTGTGAGTGTTATTCATAACACTCACACTACTGTGATAAGTCAAAATGTCTTTTGGGAAAAAGGTCTCTTAACTAGGGGCACCCCAGCTGGTTTAACTTCTGGTATTTACATTTACACATTTAATACCATGCCATTCATTTTCAGCATTACCTTGTACCTTACAGGTACAAAGACATCAGACAAAGTTGCAGGGGTCATAACAAGTCATACGGTCAAATGCTGACAATGTTGTTGCACATAAACAACTCTGACAGACATGCTTTTTTAACATTTCGGTAAATTTTGTCCAGAATTTTCCATGACTGAACAGCTCCAATGATGAATTACAGGTTTTCCTGAGCTTATACTAGATATCCACTATGTGGTGCTTCGGTCACCTAACTCCATTACACACACTGATACAAAATAAAATTTTGAAATCTAACCAATAACAGCATCTCATCTGCCCATTTTCCTGCATCCGCCAGCTCCAGCTCTCCTGTCCATGAGTTGCCATTTGTTTGGTTGAGAAGGGCCGTTTGAGGGTTCTCAGTGACCGCAGGACTGAGTAACAAAAAAGGAATACAGAGCCACTGAAACAGAGAGGAAAAAACAGCAATTATAGCATAACTGAGGACAAGCCATCAATTCAATTACTTAAATTTCTTAATGAATGTATTTATCTATCTCAATTAAGTCCAATTATTTCTGTTGCCGTCCCTCCACCCTCCTCCCTCCCTCTCTTCTCTACATTCCTCTGAGCATCCTCTGTTTCTCACCATGCTGAAAAAGATGAAGGAAAGCTGGATGATATCAGTATATGCAACGGAGTAGAGACCCCCTAGGAATGTATAGATGATGGAGACAGCCGCTGAGATAATGATGGAGAGGGCGGACGACAACCCAAGAATTATGCTCATCGTTCCTCCTGGATATCACACAGAAAACTCAATCAGAGATCAAAAATGTAATGTGATGATTTCATGTTAAATTTGCCACATAAAGCCACAAAGACTTGTGTGAAAAGTGTTACTTACCTAGAGCAGCAAGGATGCAGGCAACCCACAAAATATCACTGACCAACGCAGGAAGCAGCAGTGTTGCAGTGAACATGTTGCCATAGCGATGCTGAAAAGGGTCCAACATGGTCACGTAGCGCTTTGACCTCATTGGTTTCGCGAAAAACAACCCTCCTTCAGATACAGAATAAACAAAAAAAAATAAAACAGCTGCTCTATCATAAAAAATCATCTAAAGCTTAAGATGAAACAGTTAATCAATTAATTAATTTGTCAAAAGAGTTTGAAAAAGAAAAAAAACAACAATCAGCAACAGTTTTAATTCAAAAATGTTATTATAATTTAAAAATGAACTTTTTTAAGCAAGAGCAGCAACAATTCACTGGCTGCAGATTCAGTTTTTCTTAATCTTCTGTGATACAAAACTGAATCTCTCTTATAATGCACATACACTTCTTAGTTCAGTAAAATTGTATGTTGTATTTAGGAGATGTGCTTGTTTTTTACTGCCAGATGTTAGCTTCGTGTACATTGTATGCCATTCACTGGCTAGAAGAAATCACAGTCATGGTTATATTATCTGATGCTTTATATTTTCTGCTGCTAACCTGAACGAGTGCAATACAAGTGCAGTAACTTGCACATGCATCCTAACATTTCTCTCTTTTACATGCCAAACATGAGAAATATAAATTTTAGGAAAATGTATTCAATAATGAAAAACACTTTGGAACAATACTTCTGTGGACTATTCATTAGTCTTGTAGATTCACATACAGTTCTGTGCTACATTTGGGTGCAACAACAGGAAACAAAACTGTGGTTTCTTTCTTCAGTAATAAAATGATTTTAATGGACTATATTTTGCATATAATTTGTGTGACTTTGTTTATTCCAATATGGGAAGAATCTAAAGTAGCTCTTGCTTGGCACACATCCATTTCAACTGGGTCTCATCTTTGGGTGTACCCTGTATCTTGTCTAGTGCATGCTGGGATAGGTGAAAAGCCACAACACCACTATAGAAAGGTAAGCATTTAAATAGCATGAAAGGATGAAATCCTGTGCTTTGCTTTAGGTGTACTTCTGCTGAATGCAGAATCACCATGGCTGCTGTATCTCCGTAAAAAAAAATTGCTACATCATAGGTCAAACATGATCTGACATGTGCTTTATCGGATGTTTTTTGTGATGGATCTTCAGATAAGTCTGAAGTCTTGAGCAGCATTGTGTGCAGTTGCGGTATTAGTCTTCAAACATATTCAAAACTAAACTCAGCTCTCAGTTCTGTTTTTACTATCTCTTTGGTTATCTGCACATGCTTTCTGTCTGCCATGATTCTTTAATTTCAGGTGTCATTTGAGGTTGCCTCAAAGACACGTCTCAGTTCAGTGTGTGTGGGGACCGTGGTCATCAGACGTGTTGAGACAATGTGCATTTCTGATTTATTTATAAGAGTGTATGCCTCGTAAATTGTTTACACATGACTAATGGTATCGTTTTGACTAAACTATTGTTGAAGAACCAAAAGCTATGACACACCCACACACTCAAAAGCACATGTGCATGTGTCATATCCTGTGACACTTGAGCATGCAAGGCTGAAAATACAACACCAGGGTGCTACTACTTACCCAAAACAAGAACCTAAAATGTCAGATAGATTTTTTGGAGGAGTATACTAATCATGTTTGTCATTTGTAAGTTTATGCAATAACGATGACCTCTTCCTCTGTTATAAGCCATTATGCAGAGGTTTCATTTGTTTCTGTTACTTACCCAGAAGAAAATTGATAAGATAGGCAGGAGGCCCCATTGCCCAAATGAGACCTTGAGAAGGAGAATAAACAGCCTCAGCAGTTCCCATAATATAACCTCCACCAACCCATGTTGCTGAAAGGGAGGCAAAGACAACAAGTGAAGACTGGAGTAACAAAACAGACAGAAAGGAGCTTAGGATACACACATTAAGGACCACATGTCAAGCACTGATAAATGACAGACATGAAAAGAAAGCTTCTACCTGTCATGGTGAAAACCCCAACCAGGACACTGATGTTGCGGCCACCAACAATGGTAACTTCACTCTTGCTTCCAGCACATGTCTTCTCCACTTTCTTGGATTTTCGAGATGCCCAGATCCCAATTACCAGGATGACAAGATAAAAAACCACAACGGCCACCAGTCCAGGGACATCCACTGCCATGATTGTCTGGTTACACAATGCACAGTCCATCAATTGCACTGACAGACAGTGTATCATATAAAACACAATAAGTACACAAATTTAAAAACAAAAAAGCAGCTGTTGCAAGTTTAACATGAGTCAGAGGATTAACAATGGGGCTGTGCCACAACCCCCCATGAGAGTTACTGCCATTGTCTTTCGTCATCTCCAGGAAGCACCACGGCATTAAGCGATAAGACCTTTTCAGGCAACTAGTCTCGACTTGACTTTCACAGGCTGTGAATAGGCACTGACAAGGCATCTCCCACCCATCCGCTATACAGTACACATATATTGTAGTACAATCACTGCCAGTATAACTTCCTCTAGGATGCCAAACAAGTGTCAGCAAAGCCTTAATGTACTCTGGCTCTCATTTGTAAAAACCAGGGCGGGTAGCATAACCTTTTACATTTAACGTGACATTAACAGAATAAGCACTTAACTTCTGGGAGCAATCCCGACTGAATAAGACTGTCATATCAGGGATGTAAAACCTCATGTGGAAGAGTAATCCAAAGTGATAACCTCCGTTATCTTGCCTGAGACTATAAGCCTGAGACCCACAATACACAAATAGCTGATCAACAGGGGGTATCACCCAGGGATGCTCCACATAGATAAAAAGCATGTAGCCAGGCAACCTTTGAGGACCCTGATCTCATGTCCTCTGTGTTTTTTCAAGGAATTTGTGTTTTAGCAACCCGCAGGGAGTTTGGATTCTTCACTTAAAACCACACACGTTTCTTAAGGCTGGTTCAAGTATTTTTAGATCCAGTATTTTTCCACCTGAATCAGTTTTTCTCCACCAGAGCTGTTTTCCTAGCAGTGTGGCTTTCAAACTGTTTTTAAAACTTCATGTTGGGAAATAGACTTATTTCAAATTGTTTATCTTAAATTATGGGTCTTCAATTTCCTTGTAAGTTCATTGGCAGTTTCCTGGAAAGAGCGATGTAATCTAGCACTAATTGTAGGGAATAAAGCTCTGAGACATTTTAGTTTGAGTTCACCAGTTGTTTATTTCCAGAAGTATTTCCTTGAAAGAACTACTTGTTCTTGTAGACTTGTAGAAAACATTGCTGAGCAGTTAACTGTGAAAAATCTAGATAGTTTGAAATGTTATCAGCAAAGTCAGTTAGTTGCAATTCTATTTACCTTGCTTAAATCTTTCACTCCCAATGTATCCTCTTAGATTAGTGAGTTAAACTGTAATCCGTTATATGCTCTCTCTGTATAAACAATAGTAAGTCTAATGTTTAATTTTATTTGAGAGAGTGTACAAACACCATAAGGGTTTGTCATTATAAAATATGATCAAGAGCTTCTGCAATGGTATAATCTGTACCAATCTCAGTAAAAACCCTCATTAAACCTGTCATAATTTATTGATCCTAATTCCTCCCCCTGAGTTACACTAAGCTATTGAGATGTATTTTCTAACATTTTGGTACATTTAACACCAGTTAAATCAGGGTGCTTTCACTGCAGTGGGCCAAATAAATGGTTATTTAGATTCTTTCATCACGTAAAATAGCAATACAACAATGTAAGAAATAATCTTGTATAAAGTAATTCTATGGATACTTAAAGTAGAACATTAAACATATGCCACTTTGAGTATCTGAGGTAAAAGTACTAATTATTATTATACCGGCAGAAATTAAGACCACTTTCACTTTTTCAAAATATTGGATCATTACCTATGTATTATTGTGTACGTGCCGTTTGATTACTGAATCGTTCAGGGGTGGAGCTATTTTACTTGATATCCTTTTCAGTATATGGCGGAAAAGAATAACACATTAGATTTCATAATCTTAACATGTTTTGTATGTAACATTAGCGATATAGCTATAGTTGTTAAATAAATGTAGCGGATTAAAAAAAAAGTTCTGTATTTCCTCAATAAATGTAGTAGGCTATCCGTAAAAAGTAAATACTCGAATAAATTACAAATAGCCAACGATTAAGTTACTGTATGCAGCCTACATTCCACCACTGATTAAGACCACATTGAACATATTGCCTTAGGCAGTTTTCTCCCTCAATGTGCCGGGATAGAACAGGTTACGAGTCTTTAAATATTTCCGTATCTGCGAAAAACGGACTTTAGGATTGCAGTCTAGCGTCAATTCCTCTATCACAACAAATTAACGCGTAAACGCCTTAAAATTAACCCAAAACAACCACAAAACCTTGAGGAAGTCTTCACGTATGAATTTCTCCATCATCTGGGCACGAGGACTATCAAACATAGGTCATTTACACAACATCTCCTCTCATAAATAACGTTAGCCTGTAACAATGACTACATTAACGATTAGAAGGGCAGACGCCACAGATTCTTCAAAACAGGACATTATCAGCTACGGAGCGTTAAAATGTTATCGATATGGTTATAAATATGTTCAATATTGGTTTTATCCGGTGCAGACAGGTTCAGATGTCTGCGCCTGTTCTCACAGTCAGGCTGAAATTAGCAGGCAGGTGCGTGCTAGACCCCGGTAGTAGCCCACATTTAGCTAACGTTATGTTTTAACCACTATAAATGGTTAAAATTACCCAAGTATAAACATAATCAAATGAATTGAATGAATCCAATTCAATTAATTTTAATGATACAGAGACCATGATGTGTTTTTCAGCCTGCCGACAACAAAAGATTAAAGATGAGATTATAATCTTATTCCAATGTAGTGACTAGCGTAATTGTACCTTTGAGAAGAGCCGACGTCCTTTCCCCGATACATCTGCCGCCTCCGGTGAGGTACTGACTCGCTGGTCACTTCTTCCCTATTGTTGTCTCCCTCTGAAACGTGACTCTTCGAGTCGCGTTCAACGCTGTCAAAACGTACAAAAACGTTTTTTCACAGCAGCGACTATGTATTGGACGCGCTCTTGCAAGCAGTTTGTAGCTCCTGCTACATTCAATATTTAGATGGCACGTACCCCGGAAAGGGAGCTGAAAGTGCGACAGATTTTAAATTCTGTTGTGAAACGTTGCAAACCGGTGCAGTTGAAACGTTTTCACTTGAACGCCTCCTGAACAGGAGGCCGTAATAAAAGAGAAACCATCACTCCAGTGTGCGTTATCTATGATAGAGAATACAGTGTGTGTGTGTGTGTGTGTGTGTGTGTGTGTGTGTGTGTGTGTGTGTGTGTGTGTGTGTGTGTTGGTGTGTGTGTGTGTGTGTGTGTAAATTGTACTTACGTGATTATGTTTTAGCCCGTGACAGGACACACGTGGTCATCACCACCAAAACACCGTCATATCCACTTTAACCCATATACTATGCTTAGATGTTTTTCACTGTTGAGACATGATGCCCAAAAGGTAACACGACCTGCATGGCATGTTGTGCAACCATGAAGGTTGTATAGAGCACTTATACTTGGCTAATGCATAAGTGATGTACATAATAGACTATAATGATACCGCAGGAGTAGCTTTATAATAATAAAATTAACCTCTATGTCTATATTGAATTGACTCAGTAATGTCACATCTTAAGTTTGCTAACATCAGTACATTACACACAACATTATACATAACTGGTTACTTATCATTCCAGACCAAGTAATGTATAATAATTTATAAAACCTGTAAATAGACAACTTAACAGGACCGTTTTCACTGTTATATAGCATGTTATCATGAATTTTTAAAAGAACATACAGGTGAAATTACATTTCTTATAAGGAGGAAAGAATAAAAAATGACCAAAACGTTTACTTTTTATTCTATCACCTTTTTAGATGTTTGTACCTCACTAAAAGGTGAAAGGGCTGCATTAAGTAAGCTGGTGAGGACTGTTTAGATCCTTCTTTTTTCTTAAATTCAATGCACTTTTAATGGCAGAGCCCATTCTTCATCCCCTTATCTCATGAATATCTTCTTTAAAAATAATTATTTCAGGGGAAATTCCAAATGCATGGAAGACTTGCCAAATCACACTACTGTCCAGTATCACATTTAGTTTACTATTATGCTATTGCCTAACTAGAACAATGGAAGTGTTTGAAGAAACATATCAAATGCTTCTTTCTACAGAGCCTCCTGGTGGTTTGGTTGGCGTGTGTATCATATGTCACCCAAGTTGGAGTCCAGCTTGGAATCTCTTTGCAAAAGAAAAAACAAAACCAGTGACCCAAAAAGGAAAAAAAAACAGCCTTTATTTTAAAAGGTTTGGGCGTTGTCAATGATGTTGTATGTTTCTGCTTTTTTGTGTATTTCACCATGAGAGTGGATTGTGTAAGATTTAGTCTGGGTTAGACTGTGTGAGCTCCTTGTTGTTAGCTGCTGACTCTGGGTTCCTGAGAAGAACAAGCCCGTCTCCTGCAGGGTCAGAGGTGCACAGTATCCAGTGGTTATTGTCCTGTTCAGCTTTGTGGGAGTCCAAGAAGGTGTGAGCCGTCACCTCATGCTCTTTGCCATATGTGGTCCTGCAGGGACACAACTAGTTATCTACAGAACGACAGCAGGCATGCATGTGCTGTAACATGACTTGAAGCTGCCATATTGGAAGCCCTCATCTTTTGACAACAAGTGCTTTGAAGATCTGACTGCGGTTTGACTGTGTCATTTGGAGTCTTCATGTTGTATTTCTGTGACATTTTGACAGGAAACTGATTATTTTCTATTAAGATACATCAGATTGATTTGTTTAAGAAACCTGATTCTTTTCAAACTACAGGACATTGCTGTCTTGGAGATGACTAGGAGTAGAGATAAGTTTTTCAGGTCACTGTGACCTAAATTGGGAAAACAGTTACACGGTTTGCGTTATCATGTCACTATATCCCATGTCATGTGGGTTACAGTAACATGTTATCACTCTTTCTGTATATTACATATTTAGCTTTTATTGACATGCTTTGGTCATATGAGAGCAGCACAAATCAAAAGCCTTTATATAGCATTCAACACAGGAAAATGGAAAATACCAAAGGACTTGATCGCCCAGAACAGCAAGAGCCTGGTTTGTCTTGCAGTGTATGATCAACACCTTCACATTAGCCTGTGAAGAAGAAAAAAAAAAGATTATTGATAATTGCATAGAAATTCTCAAGGCAACAGAAGTAAAGGAAAGCAAAAGAAACACTGTGTTCAGTGTATTCTGTGTTTAGTTACTGATTAAAATAACAGTGAATGCTGATGTTGCAACTAACACATGGCAACAAATGGACCAGTCAACCATAAAGCTCTAGCAAAGACTTACAGGAACAGGTTGACCCTCGTATTCAAGCCTTTCCTGGGGATCAAAGTGCACTATCTTCCACCATGACAGAAAGGAGCAATCATCAACCAAGTTTACCTCTTGCAGGCGGGACTTCTTTGCACACTTTAAATAAAGTCACAATAATATGAGATTAACAATGGTAGAAGAGCTAGTGAAAAGAACAAACATAACTGCTTTTCCTTTGCCATTTAACTTTAAGTATGCATTTAAGATTTCTGCATTTGCACTTTGTTAAACATCTCATCATAATTGCTGGTTGCTCAGTGTACTGTATTCTCCTTTATGGTCTTCTACCTTTTGAAAACTTTGTAGGTCACTCGTCAAGTAAAGCTGAGGAAACAAAGGAAGAAAAAATCATTAAACACAAAGTGACACAAAATATGTCATTCATGTGTTTTTTTGGAATCATTCATAAACATAATGCAAAGTGAAACACCTTTGCTGTTTAATAATAACATGATATTCTCATAATTCAACCATAAAGTCTCTTATTACTGTTATTAGATGTTGATGTTGCACTTCTGTAAAGTTGAGGGACTCTCAAGAGACCGATTAAAAAATCAAAATCAAAGCAGCACAGGCAGAGATAACTTGATTCTTAGTCCCTATTACAACACTTCCGTTATGCAGCTCAGTTGCATCTATCATTAGACCTGCCCTGCCTGGTAAATGCCTTCTTCGTTCAAACTCTGCGCAAACCATGTGTAACCCATTCTCCAAACTCAACTGAGATAACCTGGTTCCATAATGACCCATCATCAGGGCTGTTTTCTTAGACTTTAAAAAGATCCCCTCTGTGCCACAGAGGATATTACACAACTGTTTTTACAAGCCACATGGTGCTACTCGTGACGTACAAACTGATTTCCATGTGTTAAATCAGTGGAGAGCCCCTTTAAAATAGAAGTCAGTCTTTGCATAAAGTGCTATGTGTGACTCCACAATTTTAAATGGCTGTTTGAGGGCTAAGAATTGGTTTTAGTGTGTGTGTGTGTGTGTGTTCACTTACTTCCCTGGCAAAGCCACTTGTTGTTTTCAGGGCAAAACTCTTCTCATAAACCAGAGTCGATCCTTCCGGACTGCCATCTACACTGTAGTCATACAAGCAGTGTTACAGGTTCACATCTGGGAGTAATACCACGTGTGTTGAGGTGTCTGTTGATGCAGTTTTAAGTGTGTTTGTGTGTGTACCTGGTAATTATGAAGGCAGTGCGTGTGCAGGGCTGAATACCTCTTCCTGCACTGATTCCACATGGGGCCTGAATGCCAGGCGAAGGAATCTTTATCAAACTGTTAATGTCTGCATTAATGCTTACTGTGCTGCACTCCCTGTTTTCTCCTCCCATGTTGACCAACATTACTACATCCCCAAAGTGCAATCTTCCATCATTTGTCACAGAGAGATTCACCTACACACATGGACAAACACCATCATCATTGTCATTATCGTCCCCATCATCATTGTGTATTACTCTTGTTGTTAATGGTTTTCTTTATTAGATTAAATGCAATTTACCGGCCTCAAAATGTTCTGTTTGAGGAAGTCTACTTTCTGGGCAACAAGATCACCCCTCTTCTTCTTCTCCAGATACTCTTTCTTTGCATCCTGGAAAAATATCAACATATACAATGTGTATTTTTAATATGTGCCCACAAGCCCACTACTGCTGGTCGTATACAAGAAATAAAAAAAAACAATAGACGATAATGATGGTTACAATCTTTTCTCTTACTCTAGACCCATTGTTTAGGCATAATGATATATAAGGTAGTGATATAATAAACATTTTTGCCCTCTGCCCTTTTGCTCTTTGTCAATAAATTACCCATCAGCAATTTTTTCCTTGTGTCATTGTATAATGCCTGTGTAAATCAATTTGTCATTTAATCCTTTAATCCTTACTGCGTAAATTATTACAAATTCATACTGTGCCGCCAAACGTTGTTCAAACTTTCAACTCTATCAAGTTCAAACCAACATAAATTTATTTTACACTCTTATAGACATCCCAAAGTTTTCAAAGATACCAAGTGTGTAAGACTGAATTCTAGGAAAAGTTATATCAAACAATGCACAAGACATCTAGAAAGTGTATATTTGATGAAATGGTGCAGTCAAAAAAACATAAGGGCATGGCTTTGAATATTTCACCTAGGGGTTGGCATCATATAGCCTAGTTTCAATGAAGAGCTGGAACAAAAAAACAGAATATATAAGATGCTGTCAGACAATGTCGAATAAGATGATTTTTCCAACCTTAAAGTATAAAAGGCTGAAACCGGATCTTTAGAGAAATTAATTATATCATAAATCACCATTAGTTCCATTTTCAGTTGTCTTTCCTACTAAACACTATATTGTCAGTGTGATGAATACTGTATTCTTTTTCATCTTTGTTACTGAATGACATGACTGCATAATGAGTACTTTTGCTACTTTAAACATATTTTGATGCTACGTCTACTAACCTTTTACTTTACTTAGTAATATTTTGAATGCAGAACTTTTACTTGTAACAAAGTATTTCTACACTGTTGTACTGCTACTTTCATTTAAGTAAAAATATATACATTATGAATACTTCACAACTGGTTTGGTAAACTGAGATTAAATTCACTTCCCAAAACTGGGTAGCCAGATAATCAGGGTGAATTGCCACTTTAGATCCCTTTTCACTCATTAGTTGGCTAACTACTATGTGCAAACACCTGGAAACTTGTTAACTTGTTTGCATTAACAAGTGTGACGCCCTTACGGTAAGAAGGATGAGTTAATGCTAACTGATAACGGGCGCCTTTAAATAATTTAGCTAGCTAAAAGTTTCATTTTGAAACAAACCTCTTCTAGGCGCAGGTCTTCATTCCAGTTTCCGATTCTCACATTTGTGCGATAAGTCTTCACATGAGCCATCCTGACTAAAATACTGACAACTATTCGTGTACTAATAAGTTCATAAGTAAAGCTACTCGTATTGTTTACATTGGCTTTGTGTAGCGGTTTCTAAGGTAACTGATGGTAACGACAACCAACCCATTTCATTTGCTGTCAGTTCTCGCTGATTGTCGCGAGAGGGCGTGATGGTATAAAAGATAATATTGTGTGCACACAATTATTATGGTTATTACTGTATAAAACAAGATCAAAAATAGAAACTTCTCGGGGCTTCCTGACCTTATGTAAATCCCAGCAGAGCTTTGCACGAGTCTAACCTGACCTGGTCTAATTAGCCACATAACTGAAAACACCTGTGTTGGTGTGCAGAATTTTGCATCTGTAGTAACACATCATGTTTTATGAGCTGAGCAATGAGATAATTGTCAGATGAATGTAGTAGAGTAAAAAGTACAATATTTACCTCTGAAATGTGGTGGAGAAAAAGTATAAACTACCATAAACTGGAAATACTCAAGTAAAATAGAAAAATTGTACACAATACTTGAGCAAATGTACTTAGTTACTGCCACAGCTTCCCATTATCAGATGGACACACTTGGTGTAGTGCTTTAATTTTGCATTAATGTGCTCCACAAACCACACACATACTGGAGACGTACATACCCACTCACATGGAACTCATGTCATCATCATCATTATCGTCTATTTTTTAAATTATGAGTAGAACAAAATAATATGCTGTTAAAAGTTCTGAACTCAGTGAATTCCAGAAACCATATATCTTCCAGTCAATTTAGGTATAATCCACGGTAGCTATAAATACAATATTCTCTGCTCAAGAGTGTGTAATATATGCAATTAGGCTCTAACTGCTGCAGTCCAGACTGAATCCGTCCATGTTTCTTCTATCCATTTTCCTTTTTCTCTGTTTCTGTCTGTCTGTGTCAGTGGCCATTGGCTCGGCCTCTGGCTCCAGAGCCATTCATGTGACTCAGTTTGTGGTTTCTTTCCTTCGGTGAGTCACTGTCATCCTCCTCTTCATCACTCCTGTCATCGCCCTCAAGCTGTAGGATGAAGATGAGCCACAGAGAAAACATAGGAAAGGAGGGTGAGCCAAAAAGGAGCAACAAGACATTTAGATGTGACATAGTTTGATACATTTCTTCACGTGAATGAATATACATATAGAAACACCTGTAAACACACCTTGCTGAAGATACACTTATAAAACATTCGTGAAATGAGAGCAGCCCAGTAGAGGTGTAGTATCTGTAGAAGCAACAGCATGACGTTGAAGAAGTAGTAGCCAAAGAAGGGAGGAAACTTCTCCGGCGGGTACACCCATGTGCAGTGGATCAGCCTGCATAAGATATGCACACATAATATTTTCACTCATGACTCCAAGATCATAACCATGCATCATGCTGTGTCCTTTCATTTCACACACACTTACCAGAAAGGAAAAATGACAAGCCTTGTCAACATAAAGAGAACTGTAAACACTACAAATATGGCGTTGGCAGTCTTGTGCCACTTGGCGTAGTTGAATACCTTTGCACCCTATGAGACAAAAACAAGGAGAAGAATCAGGTTCAGTTATTTATGAAGTAGTCAGTCATTAAGTTAGAGCAGGAAGTGCATCTGATCAAATTTTTTCATATTAAGTTTGGATGGATGGATGGATGGATGGATGGATGGATGGATGGATGGATGGATGGATGGATAACATAATGTAACATGGAAATTTTAGTATCTTCGTACATTAGAGAACACTTATACAATTAAACCAATGCCAATTCAAAACAATAGCATTGTATTAGACCACTGCAAAGTACACACAGATATATCTATTTTTCAAATAAACTGCCATCGAGATGGGTTTCAATTCAACGCTGAACTAATTCTTGGCTTCTTTAGCTGCATTTCGCTCATGCATTCAAGAAACATTCAATACTAATAGTAGTAATAATGATGTTGCCTCCACATTTGCTGTCAAAAGTCAAATTTGAGCATCAGATCTTATTCACACCACAACAAACCCTCTCCTCCTCTTCAGGCTACTTTTTTATCAAGTGATATAAATTTCTACCACTGAATTTTAGCTGGATGTGCAGCTAACATGGACAAAAAGAACATGCCGTGTATGGTATAGTGGAGTGAGGCAACTCCCTCACATTCACTGCTGAACTCCCAGTTCATGTAGGAGGGAGGGGCAAAAAGTTGATTATATGCATATCTGTTTGGCATCAAACCTGTTTCAGAACTTCCTGCCTTGATTTTAACTTTCAACTTTCTACTCATACGTTGGTCACACCTTTAGAGTTTGCGTTTTATACTGTATGAACCATTAAAATATGAAACCCAACCACAAATATATCTGTTTTTTTTTTGAAAATGTAAAAACACAGCTTTTCTGTGTGCGAGTAACATTTTTATTATGCGTTCCTTTAAGTCAGTCTGTTCCTGCAGAACTGTGGCAATGCACAGTGACAGTGCAAAATGTCAGCTATCTGCTCATAGTACGACAACATATATCCCATAGATCAGCTTGCACATGCACCAATGTCAGAACAGCACTGACCTCCAGCAGTATGTCAGCAGAGTCATGAACTGCCATCACAATGGTTCCAATACGGATGTAGTTTGAAATCCAGGAGAAACTGAGAAGAGTCAGTGTGGCTATATGATGAATCACCTGCTCTTTGAAGTCCTACACACATACACATGACAGGTAAACATGCATCTGACACCAAGACACTCACTCCCAGTTTATTACATGTTTATAACATAAAGGCCACTGCAGGCTTTGTATTAGTTCCTGCAAAACTAACATTTTGTGAATACTGAATTTAAATAAATATCAATAAAATAATAATAATAAGTGAAATATAATAAAATAATAATATCAGTGCATTCGTTGATTTTATAAATCTGCATACATGTGTACACTTACTTTCCGTTTAACATCAAATGAGAGGCTAAGGAGCAGAGAAAGGTAGAATCCCATTTCCAAGAGGTAATACCAGTATTGAGATGGCAGCATGGACTGCACGGACACATGACACACACACACACACACACACACACACACACACACACACACACACACACACACACGCACACACACACACACACACACACACATATAGATGTTTAACACACTGAATACTGTAATATGGTTCAAGACATCCTGATAGCAATGGGAAAACACATCTACCTGTTTAGGGAAGCCTTCCCAAACCTCCTTCAGGTTATAAAGCCAAGGTTTCTACAGCCAGCAAAAACAGAGAGGGGAGATGAGTATGAGGGGAGTGCTGGAGAATAGCCTTGAGAACAGCATCAAGGGTAAATGTTGGCCAACGAGCTCGTGCATGTTCATGTGCCATGTCAACTGCCAGAGCATGAGAAAAACCCTGAAGCACTAGAAAGACATGAGATAGAGAGAGGGGGACGAGGAGTTTCAGGTGAAATCAGTGTATTGTCAAATAGGGAGAAAGAGAGAAAAGTAGAGAACAAAAGACAAAATAAGGAAAGAGAAATGTCCCATAGCAGCAAATCCAACAATTCATGGAGTTGAAAAATGAATGAAACAAGAGCTAAACTCTGTAACAGAAGTAGTTCCTGTTATAAAAAACAAAACTACTTACATCATAGAGAGCTAGGACTCCACCGACAAATGCAAATAAATAAAACACGCATCTCCAACTGTTGACAGAAGAGAACAATAATGTCACATATTTGCGCACACACACACACACACACACACACACACACACACACACACACACACACACACACACACACACACCTGGCCTCACAGAACCTCTTCCGAAGCCCAGGTCGCTCCTGGTTCCTCCTCCTCCTGAACCAGACTTGAACTCTTCTTTCTGGCCAACTCGTCTTTTTACACAGAGACCTCACATCAGCCTGAGACACAAGGGAAATGATCCAAATGTTACATCCTTTCCACTCTCAAATTTGACTGTTAAAAGTTTAGTGACCAAGTAAATCTGAAAAGACCACAATGACTAATGTATTTTAACGTATGCACCAATGTTCCCTCTAATTTTTCATGTGTCTGGGCATACACACAAGCTCCCTGAGCACACTGAGGACCACTGTGAGCAACATCAGATGTGCACGCTGTGGAGCATTTAATGATTAATATCCATAAACAAAAAATCTTAATAAATGTAACTAGAATATGCACAAATCTGACTTAAATTTTGCCTTATTTTTCACGTCTGTCCTTCTGACTTCTCCAATGGTTGTACACTTTGTCCAGGTTGATGGCTTCGTCTGCTTCTTGCTTTGACTTTATGCGCATTCCATCTTAAAAGAACCGCATTTCTTTTTTACTTGGTGAGTGGATGTGTCGCTACCCGTTCGTTTCGCCATGATAAGGGGTTAGCATTTGCGTCTCTTAACTCCGCCGCACTGTTGTTAACTAGCTAACCTGCACGACGCGTATGGGCAGGGCACATATGCAAGCACTGTCAATGCTATGATTGGCTACGTGAAGTGAACCGTATCGTATCATTAGCTGGACACCTGACACCTGTCGCTGAGTTACATTGCAAAATGGTACAAAAAAAATATTATTGGTCTAATTAATTAGATTAGGTCTAATATTAAATATTAATTAATAAGTTTATGTTGATTTTTTTTTTTTGCGCTGCATAGATTTTCTTGTGCGCTGAGAATGTGCGAGCAGTGCGCGATTGCGCAAGCGCGCAGCTTAGAGGGAACATTGGTATGCACACACATTCACAGATCGACACACAACTACTTCAACACTAATGGCACTATTCCTGTTTATAGTAGGATTCGTTTATTAGTATTTATTTTATGTGCATTTTTACTTACTAGAACATTTTACTTTTTAAATGAAACGTCTTTACATGTGCGACAGCAAAGAAATGCTATTTCATTCCCATGAATACTGAATGTTCTATATGGAAAGAAGACAATAAAGTTGAACTTTTACCATAAATCACAATCATATGTAGAGGATTTTATATTAATCTGTTGTTTGCTTTTAATAAAACAATGTGTACATTGTTGATGTAATCATAATATGCTTATAACTAAGTGACTTTTTCATCAAATTTGCTGTGCAACATTACAGAAGAACAGACTGAACTTATGATATTGGTTGAAGGCCACAACTCCTTATATGGTAGACATCCTGGAACAGAAGTAAGACAAAAAAACGAGGAATAGAGTAGGGTATTGTCTCTCTTTGTGTGAATCTCTCACAGATCCACCACCACGAGGGCTGTCCCGCGTAGGAGAGTCAGATAACACGAGGTGAAACAACACAGAGAACACGTGGAGGAGCAAAACAGAAAGACAGCGACATGGACTGATAAGAGAATCAACCCACATTGTATTATTTTTTTCTGTGTAAGAATATGAAAAGACTGGGTCAGGAAGAGGTAGACAGTCAGACTTCATGAACTGGCGCAACTGCATGTTGTTGTCAGGGAGAGATAGTTTGGCCCAGAGCTCTGTAACGATTTCCTTTTTCTAATGCTATATTGCTGTTAGCTTTAATAAATACTGGGATTTGAACTTTGAAAGAGTGTCCTGTTTCCTTCATCAAACCAACATGCGAGTTCAGGAGACGAACTCAACACATACAAGATACAGTCATAAAACTTTACAGGTGTGTAGTTAAGATCGAAAATGAAGGGCGAGTTTGATAATGAGTGTGGTCTGATAATGTAGTACAGTTATTGTATATTGTAGTAACAATGTAGTGATGACCACTGAGTACACATGGGTTAGATCGTCCGCATGTTGACAGGAGTTGTATCCCATGTGATCCTGTCACAAGATGGTCTCTAATTTATTTTTTGCTTTTCAGAGATGCATGGATGTGATGCCTTATACTATTCACTCACCAAGCACATCTAAGGAACACCATGCTAATACTAGTTTGTTCCTCCCTTTACTCTCAAAACAGCCTCAGCTCTTCGTAACATGGACTCCACAGGATGTTGGAAACATTTCTTTGAGACTCTGCTCCATGTTGACATGATTCTATCACATCATTTCTGCAGATTTGTCAGTTACACATTCATGCTGCCAATCTTATGTTCTACCAAATCTCAAAGATGTTCTATTGGATTCAGATCTGGAGACTGGGGAGGCCACTGAAGTTCACTCAACTTATTCTCATGTGCATGAAACCAGTTTGAGATAACCTTTGCTTTGTGAGATGTTGCATTATAATGCTGGAAGTCGCCATTAGAAGATAGTATATTGTGACCATATAAGGCTTGGACACGGTCTAAAATTATACGTATAGACTTTGGCATACAGACAATGATTGATATTAAACAATGAGCGGTATTAAGGGACCCAAAGTGTGGCAAGAAAACCTTCCCTGCACCATTACACCACCAACACCACCAGCCTGGATTGTTGACACAAGGCAGGTTGGGTCCATGGATTAATGCTGTAGTTGCCAAATCTGACTCTGACTCTACCATCTGCTGCCACAGCAGAAATCCAGATCCATCACACCAGGCTACGTTTTTCCAGTCTTCAACTGTCCAGTTTTGATGAGCTTGTGCTCTTTGCAGCCTCAGATTTCTTTTCTTGGCTGACAGGAGTGATCAGTCAGTTCCCACCAGTGTGGCCATTCTCTCTCATCAACAAGGTGTTTCTGTCCACAGGACCGCCGCTCACTGGACATTTTTTGTTTTTGGCACCATTTTTTAAACTCCATAGATTGTTTTATGTGAAACTCCCAGGAAATCAGTAGTATCAGAAATTGTCTCACTGAGTTTACATTTTTTTCCCATGCTGATGTTTGATATGATCATTAATTGAAGTTGCTGACTGTATCTGCAGGATTTTATGCACTGTTTTTCTGCCACATGATTGGCTGATTAGATAATTGCATGAATAAGCAGTTGTGCAGGTGTTCCCAATTAAGTGCTGGGTGAGTATATGTGTGACTGCTGATTGAGGTCTCTGTATGTGAACAACAAACCACCTTTGGTTTTCAGTGAGAAGCCCGTTTAACAAACCTGTGATGGAACTCGTGCTTGGCGGCAGAAGTAGTTTTCTAGGATGGGGTTTTGTTCTGCTGTCAGACGTACCCTGTCCCTGATTCCCCAAACATTAGCCACTGGTGTGGCCAGGTATCTGCAAAAAAACACGAGCAACATCACAGAAAATGTGTGTCAGCATATCATGCTGTAAAACAAATCATCTGGCACAGCAAAGCTTTGTTTCTTCCTTCTAAACGCAACAGAATTGGCGTGGTTCTTTGTGGAGTTCAATAACATTGCTTCAAACAGCTTGTGCAACATCTTGTGAAACCAGACGATTGCATTGCTAAACTCACTGAGACACAGGCACATTTAGTCTCTTACTGAATTGTATATTCCCACCTTTCAAACAAGAATCTGACTAGAAGCAGGCAGAGGGCGCAGGGCAGAGCAGCGTAAAGTTGACAGGCTTTAGCATAGACACGACCTTCACTGTCCTCCAGGTCAGACCAGGAGACATTCCCTGGCAGCCACAGACGCTCCCACCACAGCCACCCACCAACTGTCTGCAACATTCTGCTGGCAAACATGCAATACACCATGAAAACACATTCAGTTTTACATCCATGATCCAAAACATTCTGTTTCTTGTTCAGGTTTTATCTATTAAAACATGAAAGGACTAATATGAAAGAAATTACATTTGATGATATATGAAAAATCTTGATTTCCATCACAAACAAGTGAAGTTTTTACACCTAGTGGGTACATTATTTTTGCACTTGCCTTTATGAAAGGTCTTTTTTTTTTCCTCCAATATAAGACTGAGACTAAATCATTGCATAAACAAATATCTACAGGCCAAAGTGGTGTGCCTTTACTGTGACTCTATAAGAGCCAAACCAGTTTTCAAAAAATAAACTGAACACCAGACACAGGCTGGCATGATGAAGCAACTAGAGCTCTGGTCCAAGAGGAATTACAGCCAAAAATGCACCGATGTTTTGTTGTTTTGAATCTCCAGTGCCAACTTTTAGCTGTGGCAACTACCTCCTACTGGTCTGTGACAGTACAACGGCTCTCTGAGCATGCAACCATGTAGGAAGTGAGTAATTTGGAGACGGAGAGCTACAGTAGATATCAAAGGGCAAGGAAGATAAAGACGGATGAGGAGCAATTATAGGAGGCAGAGATTAGAGAGAAGTAAAGTCCTTCCTCTTGTGGACTCTGCCCATAACAGCGTGTTGATAAAAACGTTATCTGAGCAGAAAACACATTCAAAACTACATTCAAAATGTGAACTCAAAGCCGTCTAATAAAAAAGTATTTAGTATTTAGTATTTACTGCAATGCCCTTATTTACTCAGTGACACAGTATTAGTCATAGTAGTGTGGCTCTGAATCTCAGTGTTAGTTAATCAGTCAGCATGGAAAAATGAGCATACCTGCAGGCAGTGTTGTCTTGACAAGTTCCAACAGAAAAGAGGGAATCTGCGACGGATGTGGATACAGAGACTGCCTGTGACAGAATCCAGGGAAACTAAAGTAAAATATTGCATGAAACCAAAGCAGTCTCAGCCCTCAACCTGATCTTGTTTGAACTTACAGTTAGATTTCAGTTTCATGTCTACAAATGTCTGAGTAATTACATCCCTTACTGCAAGCCAGTTAGAGAATATATCAGAGAAAGTAAATGTATGCACATGGCCGTGTATACACACGCACACACACACACACACTCACCTTTGGTGTGCCCACTGTAGTGTGTTCTCCGGGGACTTATCTGTGTGAAGCCAGTCTGTTACTCATACATATCATATATTGCACTTATCCCTAAAAGATAACAGCCCTGTTAGATCCTATAAGTTCACTGGTAAAGCTTTTGTGGAGCCAATCTTGAAAGACAGAATAAAAAGGGAAAAAAAAGAGGAAGACAAATATTTACTCATGAGCTAATAGTTTCCCTAATCCACATGATGTACCTCATTGTGTGTGAGGCAGCAGGTGCCAGTGAACATGTTGATTTTTGAGCATGCGTGTGGTCGCTCACCTTTTTTTTTTTTTTCTTCGAAAGAATGGGATCCTGCCCTCCCACTCTGTCTGCTCTTGTGATCACACCCTTGTAGTTGCAGCACGTCCTTTAAGGTAAGGTTATCTCAGCACTGGAAACAACATACTGCCCTTGGAGCATTTTGCACTTTCAGTTGTAAATGGTAAGCTGCAGCAGTCATCTGAGTGTGGGATTGTTTGCATATACCCTCACCTGCAAGAATTCCCTTGGAATGCTGGGAAGCCCCCACAAAGGCCCCATTCACTGGTGGGGCAGGGGAGGAGGAGTCAGTGCATGTTACGGATAGAGGAGAAAGAGGAACTTTCACACACAAAGAGAGAGAGAGAGAGAGGGAGAGTGAAACATCACTCTGCATAAATAGCAGCCTGTGTTAATAACAAACATCTGAACACAAATGAAGTGACCTTGGTTCCCTGCTCAGTTTTTATGGTGAAAATGGAATTTTCCACAATTAATTGCAACCAACAGGTGATTTGTGTGTGACTTTGGAGGAGAGCAGCAAAAATGTCAGTATTCAAAGGGATGAAAACATAAACCAACACATCATTGAGCATCCATGTTAAAATATTTTTGTTCCAGCACAAACCAGAAGGGGGCAACAGAGACAACATAATAGGCCTATCAGTGTTGACACTCCTAGTTAGGATTTACCAGTGACATGTGTTGTTGTTGTTATGTTTCTAAGCTTGCCATCTCTGAGCAGCGGTACCTCTGGATATGTGATGTCACTCGTTAACCTTATCAACAACTTCAGCTTTCAATTTTCTCCTTTTCTGTCAAAGTCCTTGTGGCAAAGGAAACAAGACTGAAATGCAACATAACAGGTCCACCCCCATGACCTTGAGAGTTCAGAAGGAAAAACAGATATCAAAAATATGTCCTTCTTTTATTATAATTTTACATTTTTTTATATATCAAAACCTCTAAAAATAAACAGTAGATCTACAAGCATAAGTGTTGATACTAACTGCGTGTATACATTTCCATATTCCTCACCATATTCCAGCACTGCTGCATGTGTGGGACTGAAAATAACAGAGGAGCGGTAGCTATTGAGCTGTGGCTGTGGGCAAAAACAAACCAACAAAAAAACAACCCAAAAAAAAAAAGAATAGAAAGAGTTAACGTTCCAGTGGTATTTTTCTCGGGCATGGCAAGCAGAGTTACAAAACAGTCTTTCTCTGAGTTGTCCTGCACTTCCCTCGTCAGGATCAGCCCTAAACCACTGAGCGGTATAAACATCTCTGTGAAGATTAAGAGGATAAAAAGGAGGTTCATTGATCTGGATGGTCTCTCTTTAGGGGTGAGGCTCCAGGCACAGACAGGAGAGGCTAATCTGGATAGCCCTACCCCTCCCTCTGTCACTCTGTGTCCCTTTGCCTTGCCTTCCAGCTCTCCTCATACTGGTGTGTTGCGCTTCAGTTCACTGGGGGAAGGGGGGATGTGGTCTCCCAGCTTTGTAAAACTGGTGGAGTGGCTAGGCTTGGTGGAGTGCTCCTCAGGACCGGGGGCTCTTTGTCGTGGAGGCAAGGTGGAGCACCGGGCTTTGCCCCTGGAGCGTGGCTGTTGGGTCGGAGGGCCTTTCAGCGCGAATAGTTCACTGGGGGCTTTGGGCTGTGTGGACTCGGGGTTGACCGAAGGGGTTTGTGTGGGATGTGGAGATGAAGGTGACACCGGTGTGTGTGGGGGAGAGAATGGGCTGGGTGAAGATGTTAATGACGACCCCAGGGGAATCAGAGGAGTGAGTGTGGCCGCCTGCTGGAACCTCGTGAGGCTGGTGGAGTGGCTGGGCCGTGGCAGGCTGTAACAAGCCTCAGCCCCTTTGTGGCGGGAAGGCAGGGTGGAGCAACGGGCCTTTGCCCTTGAGACTGGCTCTCTGGGAGGAGGGGCAATTAGTGAGAAGAGCCTAGTGTCAGTATCTGATGTTGTAATTTCTGCCCTGGAGCCCCTCAGACTTTCAAATGAGCCTCTTTTAGATGATGGATGTGATGGAGGTTCCTTCTCCTTCTGGTATTCCTGTTTGGAGTCTGAGCGGGGAAGCTCTGTCTCCCTAGCTGTGCTCGATGAGGGTTCCTCATCTACGTGACAAGAAAAGAAGAAGAAGAATTATTCACAAGACACAAAAAGATACACTTAACTTGATCTTAAAATTGGAGCAAATCAAAGAGAACATAGCTGATGAGATATGATGAAGTTTATCCTCTCACCTAACAGGCCCAGCTCGTTCATGAAGGAGTCCAGATCAATATTTAAATTCTTCTCATCTGCCTTCCCTTCATTTTCTTCTTCCTTTCTTTGTCCTCCTTCCTCATTTTCTTTTCCTCCCTCTTCCTCATTATCCACCTTTCCGTCATCTTCATTTACTTCTCCATCTTTTTCCGCTTCTACCTCTCCACCCTCATCTTCTCCTTCACTTTCTCGCTGTATTTGTCCATTTTCTTCAACTTCTTCAAGTGCCTTCCCAACCTCTGGATCACTGTCACTGGTTGTTCTGGGTTCATCCAAATTGACCTCAAGCACTTCTTCCTCCTCCTCCATTTGTTGCTCCTCTTGCTCTTCTGGTGGTGCCTCCACCACAATGTCTATGCGGGCAGGGAAACGGGGGATGGAGCGTTTTGGGGAGTGAGATTTGGCACGTGCTTCTTGGTCTTGATTCAGCAGAAACTCCATCAGCATCATGTTTTCTTTCTTCAGCTGTTCCCGCAGAGACCGTGGTACGTCTGGGATCATCCAGGCAACTAACATGCTGAGGAACATGGCGAGGTTCTGTAGGGAAAAAGACAAGGATTTTTTTTTCTTGCTATGTAAAGAGTAGGCTTGGAGTTCATTGCTGCTATGGTTGCGCAATAATCTATAACTTCTTTTTTATTGTTGTAGAAAAAACATTTCTTGGTTTTATAGGTTCAATATCTGCGCTGCTATGAGCACTGCTATTGGATCGGGATCGGGTGGAGATAATGATGGAGAGAAAAAGATAGATCAGTGCTTCTTCTCTAATCTGTGATATTATATTTGTCAGCCATAAAGAGAGATAGTGGTAAAGAATGTATGAGGCAAAATAATCTTTGTTTACAGAGACATTGGGGCTTAAAACCACTGAAGAACACCACATAGCAAATGTAAAGGTGTTTAATAAAGACTTGGGACACCACCACCATTTTTAGACAGACATCAACAAAGCCACAATTGTAAATGTTTTCATATTTTCAACATTTTCTTACCTGGAAGAATATTACAAAGGCCAGCTTTGCCGCCAGGACAGACCAGTACTGTTTAGAGAAGGTGTAGGCATCTGTTGCCCATGGAGGGTCTCTGTAGTCTTTATACCTGAAAAACACAGACAAGATGAGTATTAGCAAGGATAACCTTAGGACAGCATGAACTTATGTGATTACAGATCAGAAAAAATCTGTTAATTCCTAGAAAGATTTTCCTCTGGAAATCCTTGCTATAAATGTCACATTTTACAGTTTGTGAAAACTCCAGACAAGTTCGGGATTTAGG